CCAGTCATTATAGGGAATGACTACTACCAGCTGCCCAGCCAAGTTGATAACTGACCTTAACTACCACAGCACCCCAAACAGGCATGGATAATGGGATTTACAAAATACCACAGAATGGAGGACAATGGCTAGAAGGGCCACATCAAGCAATTCACTGCATTGTCTTTATTTTAGTCTTTGTCCTGTTTATGACTTAATGAAGGGGTCTCTGTAGAATATTACTGGGTCTGGGGTCTTTTCCTCTAGCACAAATGGCAATGAGGATGGGATTTCGAAGCCATTTTTCCTTGGTGGGAGGGCCCCCAGGGGTGTTGAGGACTGAAGTTGGCGCCAGAGAAAGGGCTCCTTGTACTTCGTTGCCTCCATGGACCCCAGGGACCCTGTGAGGTAAGCATTCTTGGATTTTCAACACTGTTTTTGCTGTGGCTCCTGGAAACCTTTTATTAAGTCTTGCCGTGTGTTGGGAGTCTGGTAGCATAGTGCTAAGGCATTTGACTGCTAACCAGAAGTCTGGTGGTTCAAACACTAGCCACTCCTTGGAAGAAAGATTGGGCAATCTACTTCTGTAGAAATACTGCCTCAGAAACCCAAGGAGGGATTGCTATGAGTTCAATCGACTTGATGGCAGTGAGTTTTGTGTGTTTTCCCTTCCGAGAACTCTTAATGGATTCTTTCTGTTTGTTTGTCAGAAATTGTGATCCTCAGGTGTAGGTAAGAGTATCTTTGATGATCTTTTAAAGGATCTGAGGAAAAATAACTGTGGAACTTGTTAGAAACCATAATTATATTCTAGGATGAAGTTCTTACATATGTCTGAGGATAGTATTTTAGCACTTCTAAGAATGCTTGGTTGTATGTGCAGATTTATAAATTTCAAGAGAATTTGCACATGTTGATCTCTGGCTAGTAAAGTTTTTTTTTTTTTTTTTTTCCTTTCCTCTTTCTACCTGTCTCTACTTGCAAAATTTGTTTGCCTCCTGGTGGCACTAGTGTGAGGTTTTGGTGCTGTCTCTTATAAGAGTTTTACTTGCTTCTGCTGGTGGAAGCAGTTCAAGGTTCTGTATAAATTACTGTCCTAGAAGTTTTTGAGTTTTGAGAATCTTGCACTCTATAAGCTGCCAAAACAAAGGGCACAGGACTACTAGCAAAAGCCAGTGGGTAGTCACCAGCCATGAAAGACAGTTAAAGACTCCTGTGTCAGAATACCAGTTCAGATGATAGGCCAGAAGCTCTAGCCTGCCTGATGGCCACAAAACAATGCCTCTGCAGTTGTTAAGCACACATGATTTAAGCAATACATTGTCCAAATTGCACATCACTCCTACAAGGATTTTACTGAGCTGAAGAGGCCTAGACTTTGAACAATCTTGAAGCTTCTCTGAATGTAGGAAATAACATATCTGGGAGCATTTTGGTAAAATCTTAAAGGATTAAATTTACATTTGGGAAAATAGAAATGGCAAATGTTTGAATGAAAACTTAGAATGGTTAAACAATGGCTAGACATACCTGATCATTTAGCCTGTCTATCTATATATCTGATAGCATAGTGCCTAAGGCACTTGACTGCTAACCAGGAGGCTGGTGGTTCAAACCCACCAGCCAC